AACACTTATTGTCTTCATTCAAAATGTCACATATACACAAAGGCAAGAGTGGCATGCAACGAGAAAGGAGAAGGGAAATTTGGAATATAAAGTTTCAAATCTGAAGAAACTGGATTGTTTTTCGGTTTGCTCTGCAATGTTGTCAGCAAATGCAAGCAAAAATGAGCTAACATTAGCTAAAAACAAAAGAAGATGCCCTGGCTAGCGGCACAGTGGTCCCTCCTTAATTACCATGGAACTGTAGCCTGGACTTTTCCACATATCATGGAGAACTTTGCATAGAGCAGGGGAAGCAGAATGTCATCTAAATAGGTGAGTTGCAGGTTCAAGTGATGTACCAGCAGTGTGTGCTTACATTTGGTGGTGTTCACAAATGTACAGACTCGCTGAGGTGAAATGTAATTGTTGATGCACTTGTGATGATATTTGTTTTACTTATACAGCTACGTGTATGCGTAATGGAACAGGACGGTGCTTCATATGCTGTTGAATTCTGAATTGTAAAAGCTGGTTTATGTCTCTTCATGTCCATGGCAGTGTCTCTTTATTGTTGGTTACTTTTGTGTGTGTGTGTCTGCTATTTTCTGAGATGAAGGCTATACCAAAAAACGTAATTGACTGCAAGTTACAGTGTAGCAGCACAGCTTTGTGTGGTTACATTGGCCAGTGGTCAAAATACACATATTCTTTGTTTTGAATCAGCTAATAATAGCTGCTGGACTGCACTTGTTTTGGTGTTCATTATATTGCTTATACATATACATGTGTAATATACCACTGCTATGTTACTTTTTGTTGTTGACTGTTTAATTATTGATTTATGTCCATGTTGCATCTGCCACAGTGTCCATAGCCTTTTCGTTGATTGATTTTCATTTTTACTGGTGTGAATACGTGCTATTTTCTAACTGATCATAGTGAGGCTATATGTAGGAAAATAGTTGGTAGTCTATTGTTTGCCCAAGCAACTGGTTGGTATTGTCTGCACCCAGGCCTAGGGCTATGTTGTTCCGCCACTTGGAGCGGCACAATAACTGCTTTAATATGTGTCCATTTGGTTTGGTAGTTTGGTTCAGACTGTACTCAACCTACAAAGTTTCCTTGTATCCATTTGTAATTAGTATGTTATGGGCACTGAGTTTATGTCAAAGAGTTTACACACTGGATATTTAGTCATTTGTCTGGGTTTAGACAAATAACCCAGGAGGAGCGCCTTGTGAAACAAATAATGTTGGGCCATGCTGTGGGCAAGGTACTTCCATAGCCTTAGGATAGACTACGCTGGAACTGTAACATTTTGAAGCATGCATGCCTGGAGGAGAAGTCACAAGAGGCCCAGCCATCTCTGGCATAGCCTGAAACTGTTTTGAAAGACAGATGTCCTAGAATGCACAATACACTGGATAATAGAACAAAAATAAATCTGTCAATAATTTTTTTGTCATTTTCTTTACTAGTATATAGGGTCACCGTGAGCTGGAGTGTATCCCAGCATGCAGTCAAAAGGCACAGCAACTAGCATCGCTACAAAGTGATGGAAGTTGACCAAACATCACAGAAGTGGTTGACAAAAGGCTGTCTTAAATTGAATCAACTGCTTTCATGCAGGCAAACAAAGCTGGGATAAATCTAAATTACCACCCAAGGCAAAGTAGTGGGTCCTTCTCTAGTGGCCTGCTCTGTTTCTCATCATGACAAGCATTACAGACCGATGAATGAGATAGAAAATGGGAGCAGACTGCAGGGGTAAACACCATGCATGCTTGCTGTGCAGTGAAAAGAGGGAGGACAACTCTAGTTAAACCACATGAGACAGCAAGCAAGGGGCAAAAATATAATGACAACCAAAATATAGTTTGTGTGCTGGCTAAAGATGGGTCTGATGTTAATCCTAGCAATGGCAGCAACATAAGGAAGGTTTATCTCTGTGTGATACACAAGCAGAATGACCCCTTGTCTCAACACAAACACTTGCAGTTACACTTCAAGTCTCTGCTGTTGCTCTGGTGTTTCGGTGATAGTCAATAAGAGTAAAACAGCAGAGCTCTTTGCTCATGAACTCCATTATAACTACCACATGATGCTGATTCAGAGTCCTTCTCTGTCACCTCTGGTCCTTGGAATTCATACACTATGCATTACAAAGCAGTCCAAGATATTATTCTTTTTTGTAGTGTGGCCTAAATGAAGTCAGTCCACTCCCTGTGCACAGTGGCCATGGAAGTAGATGCTCTATATTCCTGAGGGGATCATCTGACAAGGTCACTGAGCTGATTGATGCTAGCCTCCAGAGTCCTCTGGGTACAGGTTCAACACCAATGTCCATTTCTGAGGTGCTAGAGAGGAGAGCGCCTGTGGGGACAAAAGGAACCACTAACATTCCCCATAGACTTCCTGATGTGTCTTTGCCATAAAGGTGACAGTATGTGTTGGATTTGTTTATTTGGAACTTCAGGGTGTGACATAAATCTGATCCCACAACACAAGCTTTCATAAAGTTTAACAAGTGGCAACAATATTATGTTGTATGTTAATACTGAATTCATCATCTGTGTACTGGTTCAACCCAGTATTACAACACTTTTGGACCTAAACTAGCCCCAGCATGCCAGTTTATTTCACCGCATGTCTGCTCCTCTACCCAGTTAAACAGCAGGGCTGCCTACATAAATATCATTAAGTCTGCTTCACTGCTGCCATGGCAACTATCATTATGCATCACACTCATATACAGAAGCCATACAGAAATACAGCACAGAAGACTATGAAAGAATTATTATACTAGACCTCTCTCCCTTCACCTGTCCTCCCCTCTCCACTGTGCAGTGTCAGAAAAACAAGTTAGTAACAAGAATTCATGTAGACTTCAGAGACAAAGTCTTCACTTGTGCTGTAGAAAAGTCACTGCTATATCTCATCAAATGAGAGCATCGATGTTTTTCCTGCCCGGGGACACTCAAGCTCAGATTTTAATCGAAAACATGAGAGAGCTGAGATATAGATTTTACTGCTGCCTTTCCCATTTATATCATTAACAACTAAAATATATTCCCAAACATGCATTCAATGTAAATGTTATTTATTTTGATATGTTATGCTTCAACAAAGGATAAATACTGACTACTACTGTAAAACATGTGCTGTACAGTATATAGGGATTGTAAGTGATTAATCAGTTGTCAGGAAAATGCTGTTAACTTTTCCAATCAAACCTATGAACAGGCAATGTAGAAGCAGAAAAAAGAAAACTCTTCAGGCCTTCTTAGGTGGAGCAAGAAATGTCATAAAACACAAAGTGGTTCCGACCTAACCAGGTCTTCATCAGGGCAGAAACATAACTAATTGTATCCACCTGGAACTGTTTATGGGTAGCACCCTGGAAATAGTAAAAACACAATCTCTGCTATATAGACACCAAATTAACATGAAGGAACATGCAGTATAAACAATCATGGCTGCATCCATGAGACAAATCAGTGTCCCTCACAAAATGCCCTCCATAGAAAATGGAACATCACTGTGTCCACCTTTGTGGTACTGATAGCTACAGTAGCTAATTCGAATTAAATAGCCTTTTCCTTTATACTGCAGGATTCACTGCTACTGTGAAAACCCACCAAGCTGATGTCTGTCTGACTGAGCTGGCTGTGCCAGGGAGCTGCATGTCAGCCCGCTGAGATCAATGCAGCAGTTAGCAAATATATTCTCATTATCTTAAATAAAACCAGTCGATTGTGTTTTTTAAATAATTAACCAACTATTGATTGTTATCATCTCTAATAAACATCCTGAAACATTCATTGCTAATTGACATGGCAAGGAGTTGGCTTGTGGTTTGCAACCCTTGTAGCACTGACAGACACAAATGTTCTCACATGCACGCTGATTGTAGGAACAGGAGCGTTGTTCCTTTAGTGTGAACAAGACAGAGCAGAACCAGCGTTGTGCTGCTGTATCAAAGGCCAGCTTTGCCTATTCTGCAGATCTCTTGGCTGCTTTTAGGTTCAAGTGAGAGGCTTGAGGCTTACAGATGGCTGGCTTATTCAAGGTCAGAAAAAAGGACAGATACAGTATAATCCATGGGAAAGTATAATTGGAGACGTGCTTCCTTGTCTGTATGAGAATATGGCTGTCTATTGTTTGACTAAGACTATGATCTGGTGTGTCTCACTATCAGTTGAAAGTTAATGAGGTATCATCATGAATTACCCAGCATAAAAAGACTCAGTACTAATTATGATTTTATGAAAGGGAATCTCATGAAGTTGAACCATGTTTGTGAGGTTCATGTCAGTTATTTTTTAGATGTACTAGATGCAGTAGTTTTGAAAGGAAATGGAAAAAAATTGAATTTGTTCTCAAGAAAATTCAAAAATTCATTTGTTCTACTGATGTTACAGTTTCAGACGGTTCAGTCCACTCAGGGAACGCCTGCAGCCTTTTGTTGATGTGGCGCGTTAGCTTTGTGATTCTGCATGGGGTTTCAGACAGAACTACTACATCAAAATTTTAATTCTATTTCAATTTAGTGCAGCCACATGATCTCAACCTCCAATGTGGCAGTGGTATTAATTGTTTCTGGAAAATCATCCTGAAACACATCTCATCATAAAAGACAACAAAAGTCTCAGTGATGACCATTAATGTAGTAGAACTTTGCAATGAAACTGAGCCAGGACATTTTTCAGCATGCTGTGGCCTAAATCAATATCTATCAGCAATGTGAAATTAAATCAGAATTGGTTTCATCACCAGGTGTAGAGCTCTCTGAATTCCATCTAGTCCCATCACGCTAAAACAGAAGAGGGAAGATTTCTTATTTGATTTGGCTGAAGAGTCATACTGGTGAGATCCATACAAGAGCAGCTTGACTTTCCAATTCTTCATTTGGAAAAATGAACATCCAAATTGCAAAGAAGACAACACACAGTGTGTACTGATCTGTTTGATTTATACCCTGAATGCAATCGCTGATCGGGCTGAGAGGGTCAGGGTCTTACCTTGAACAATGAGATGCACTTTTGTAGATTTTGGTTTCTTGTTTGTGAGGATGGAGCAGACATAGGGCCCCTCATCATGGACATCGACATTCTGGATCTTGATGCTGTACTCTGTGGCTGCCGTGTTTTCCATCAGGATGACGCGAGGATCCAGAGACCACTTCTCATTTCCTGCAAATAAAATGGTGGTGCGATTCAGCCAAGCCACTCGTGATACTTTGCTGTCCACGTTGCATCTGGCAGAAGGAAAGAAAAGCACACAACAAAAACACCAGTTAAAATATATTCAGAAACTGAGGCATTTTGGCATCCAGCTGTGTCAGATGAGGTGCTGTGACAGGTAAGGTGTGCTCTGGAAGGCACAATTTTGATTGTGATGGTGGGATTTTGATGAGAAAGCACTTTAAGTCAGTGCCAAATTATATTCTTTATCATAATTAAGAATTAGAAACTGTTATGATGAGGTCCACAGCTGTGGTTCATGTCAAAGTAAGAAAGTTCTGTTTACTTGTTTTTATACTTGAAGAACTTAGGAAAAGCACTCTTCACTGTTCAGTGCTTGGATATCATACAGACAACTCTATATTCTGTAAAATTTCATTAAATTAGTCTAATTAGATAACTTAGGTCAACTTAGTCTATTTATTGCTTGAGTCTCATGATTTCAGGCTTGTAAGTAACTTAATATGAGAATTATGTAGTAATTTGTTATGTCTTGTAATACATGTCTTAGCATGTTTTAACAGTTTAACTAGGGTAAATAAACAGAAGTTAAAATTCAAAGTTGTTACACTGTAAAAATATTAATAGACCACTTAGCGTTACTCCAGTTTGAAGTTAACTGAAATTAAAACTCTGTCTCCTAGAAGTTATGTTCATATGCAGTATTACTTAAATGGTTTTCTAATTACAGTACATGGTGGCAATATAATTACTGCCTGGGTTATACGTCCTCATCCACAGTCCCATTTGTTCATCATATTATGTAAAAAATACAATGCTGTCACATTACAGAGTGGCGGTTTCTTCTCACATGGTCTTTGGCTGAATGCAGCCATTACGGAATTTATTTTTAAAGTCTGCAGCTGGTGATGGCCACTTTAACCAGCTTCACTTTCAGTGCTGACCTAAGAAGCCTGAATGACTAAATGTTTTCCACATTGTACGGAGGTAGATGTGTTAGCATCAAATCTAAAATGCTCTTCCAACCGGGAAGCAGGATCAGAACGGAACCCGGGAGCTATCGAGTCCTACATGTTAGTACATGACTGTAGCTTTGTTATGAAGAAGAAGAAGAAGTGGATAACGATGTAGGAGTGCTTTGAGCATTTTGAATATTTTGAGCACTTTTTTGTTGTTGTGACAAAAAATATTTTTAAAAGGAAGCTTATAGATATTGCTCAAATAATAACACAAATATATTTAATAGGTCATTTAGTAAGTACTAAATACTACAGTAAGTACTTAATACTAAAACCCCCACCCAAACTGAAGATGGTAAAAACACTCTGGTGGGGGCGGGGTGGGGTCTGTTATTAATATCTGGTAAGTCACCTACTTAATGCCTTTCACGCCCCGCACACAGTATTAATCTTCTTTTAAGAGCATGGCATAACATTCCCCTCCTTCCAGATGAGACCCCCACCCACAAAAACATGCTGTAATTTGAACCCTGCAGTATTACAATATATGTATACCACAATAAGATATACTGTTACATACTGTTTTGGTACAAGTGAAATCACAGAGCTACTGCACACCTCTTTTGCCACATTAATACTACAGCTCTGATTTATCCAGCCAGGTTAAAACAATAGCACTGGCAATAGACGTACTGGTTCAAATTCATGTCTTTTTCTGCAGGGAACCTACTGAATCTCAATTTAATGAAAAACAAAATCAGATTTTAGCACAGCAGTTGAACAGAAAAACAAACGTAGGCCACTTTTTTTTATTCATGTTGTTAAATGAATGGACATTATAAATTTAGAATGAGTTTGCACAAACAGTCTTTTTCAATCCAAAATACCCTGAAGTTTAAGGAAGCTTATAGATGTGGGAAGATGAATTCAGTGCACAAAGACCCAGTGTCTGGCTGATTAGTGTGCGGGTTTCAACACAAGTTATCACACACAGTCCACAGAGCGCATCAACCAGGGAGTTGCACACACCCAGCAGTGTTCGCTAACCCCCGAGTCATACACATAGCATTTGCAGTAAATAGAGCAAAACAAGACGCTTCAGGTTCATAGAGTAACATGCGCTGGCAAAAACTAATGTATGACGACTGTGTCTAGTGCTGAGTCCAGGGAAATTAAGGTGTGAAGGGAAATGGAAGAATTTAGATTATAAACATAAGGAGAGCTATCAGCAACCAGACTGACTGTAAAAGAAGATAAAAGGAGCTTGTATGTGATGTGAGAAGGCCAGGTGAATCAAACAGGAGATGATATGAATCAGACGAATATGGATCCAACACAAATCCAAATACAGAGGCATGCTAAAGACTGTGGCTGTATTAAAGTAAGGTAACTAAATGTATTACAGTACCGGGGAACCTTCAGTGGCTTATGAAAAACTTTCACTTTGGGCAGAGTTTATTTTGCTGTATATTCAGTTTTACATGAATAAGACTGCCCACTCTTGGCTGTGTGCCTCAAGTCATTGTCATACCCCAGTGTCAAGCTGGGTGCTTCATGAAGGACCTCTCTGTATTTGGCATCGCTGATTCCTCATTCTGCATTCATACGTTCTTTAGTTCTGACCACCCTCCATGTCCCTGCTGCTGAGAACCCCTGACAAAAGCACAGTGCTTCCACCACCATGCTTCAATGGCATCATTCAGGTGAAGATGAATGCCTGGTGTTCACCAGATGTAGTGTTTGGAGTTCTGCCCACAGAGTTCAAGTTTTGTTTCATCAGATCTCCTGCTCTCAGTGTCATTTAAATGCTGTTTGACAAACTCCAATTAGATGTCATATATCTTTTACTCTAAGGACTCCATGTTCCTGACAGCCCAATTCCTGCAAAGCTTTGAACACAGTTGTGTAGTTTTCCTCAAGGGCATGTCTGTTTTTTCTTTATTTATTTAATTTTTATTTATTTATTGCACATTGGCTTACGCAATGGGGGAGAGATGTATTTGAGGCTTAGTGCAATTTTGTTGTTCATTTTGACCTGAAATAATGACAGCGATAACACCTGCTCAGACCACCTCTTATTGAATAAACTAGTCTTCAGTATGTGGCTATATAATATGGTCAAACAGTCCTGGTGTATGTAAGGACACACCATCTGTCCTTACAGCACACAGCCAGAACTGATCAGCAGTCGGTGTTTGAGAATTGCAGAGCTGACTCCATAGGCACACAAAATAACATGTGAAAACATGATAAGCAACAAACGGCGTGCAGACGTTTCCATTAATCCTGTTATGCAGCAGGTAGAGTCAGTCTGACCACACTGTGCGCGACCATCACTGTTACTGTTATGATCGCTCGGACACGGAGGTGAGCGAGGAAGAATAGAGGGACCCAGGTAGCTGACTTCGGTGCAAGTAGTGCTAAATTTATTTACAGTGACAATCACAGACAGGTAAATAGACAGGTGAAGGGAGATGGAGTGTAACTAGGCGTCAAGCAGCAGCAGAGGAAAACAGTCAGTTGTGCGATGAATGATGGTAGACCGGGCTGTGGACACTGGGGGTCACTCCTGAACTGGTCGTGGTTGAAGCGGTGCTGGCTGAGAAGACAGAAGTATGTACAGACAGTTAATGACGACTGTGCATTGACCTGTATGGTGGAGACTGACAGAGTTGAGTAGTTCCAGGGTCCGGAGGAGAGGCCCGTGGAGGAGGAAAGTGTAGCAGGGACGAAAGCAAGAGGCTATGGAAGCGAAGAGAAAACAGGGCTGGCAGGAACAAGGGAAAAACATAAGGAGTAGGATAATACAACTGGTAGAAAAAAAATAACGAGCAAAGGGGGCCTGAGAGTCGAGAAAGAACTGGCAAGGGAGTGAACGATGAGCAGGGTATAAGTAGGGAGAAAACTAATCAGGTGCAGCTGGTGATAATCAGGGGAAGTGAAGCAGGTGTGCCAGATAGTGTAATCAGGGTAAAGAAGCCAAAACAGAGTGAGGGAAGTGAGAGAGGCAGGTGCAGCCCGGCAAACCTGACAGCCCAGACGGGCTGACAACGGGTGATGTGAGCATGAACAGAGGGGACAGCAATGTCAGTTTCTGCAGTGGACAGCAGGGGAGGTTGGTACCCTAGGGATGCCTGGAAGGGAGAGATACTGGTGGTGGAGCTAGAAAGGGTATTGTGGGCATATTCCACCCAGGGCAACAACTGGCTCCAGTCCTCAGGTGAGGAACTGGTGACACAACAGAGCGCATTCTCCAGCTCCTGGTTTTAGTCATTCAGCTTGGCCGTTGGTTTGGGGGTGGTAGCTGGAAGAGAGACAGGGACGTGCTCCAAGGGCAGTGCAAAAGGCAGACCAAACATGTGAGGTGAATTGTGGACCGCGATCACAAACGATAGTGATGGGGGTGCCGTGAATACAAAAAACGTGCTGAACCAGGAGCTGGGCGGTGTCTAGAGCATTGCAGAGTTGTGGAAGGGCGAAGAAATTGGCGGCTTTGGAGAAATGGTCAACGATGGTGAGAATGGCAGTGTTGCCCTGTGAGGGAGGCAGGCCAGTGACAAAATCTAGGGCGATATGAGACCAGGGCTGACTAGGCGTGGTCAGCAGCTGAAGAAGACCTGCAGGGGACTGATGTAGTGGCTTGGCTAGTGCATAGGGAGCACTGGCAGCTACATACGCCCTGGCATCTCTCTCTAGGGTGGGCCACCAGAAGTTCGGTCCACCCCCTGGATCGGGTTCCTGTTGCTGCACCTCCCGTATGGTCTCCTCGATCTCCCATGTAATGGAGGCTACCACACAGGAGGCGGGCAGAATGGTTTTGGGTGTGTCATCGGCAGCTGGGGGGTTGTATTGTCGGGAGAGGGCATCTGGTTTCTGGTTACGGGACCCTGGCCGATAAGAGAGGGTAAACCAGAACCAATCAAAGAACATGGCCCACCTCGCTTGTCGGGAGTTCAGTCTCTTAGCTGACTGGAGGTAGGCCAAGTTGTTATGATCGGTCCAGACTAAAAATGGTTGGTCAGCACCTTCGAGGAAGTGCCGCCATTCTTCCAGGGCTAGCTTTACAGCCAGTAGTTCCTTGTTGCCCACATTGT